TGCGACTGATCATGTATACGTCACGCCAACACATATCACGGGAACCTGTAGTGTAAATTGACCTGAATTAAGTGTCTAAAGAATTAGTCTTCACTTTCATTTTGTTTTGTTCGTTTTGAGTTGTGAAAGGAGAATTTATCATTAATTTTACAGAATAAGCAGAACAAATAATAATGTAAGTAAAGTATATTGGCAATGGACCTTTCCCCTTATAACTAAAATTTTGATCTAGACAAGTCGAGACAAAAATTTCATCACAGCTTGAAAGAGCATCACAAAATTAGTAATATTCCAAAGTTTCGTTGCGAAATGTTGTAAAATGCGGATAATATAGCCCTGTGAAATTTGCAATTTTCAGTCATTTTAGATTACAAACGGGAATTTGATGCCCCAACACCCGATTGGACTGTCAATTTCCCGTTTATAATACAAAATGACTGAAAAACGGCAAACTGAACAAGGCTATATTATCCGCATTTTACAACATTTCGCAACGAAACTTCGGAATATTACTAATTTTGTGATGCTCTTCCAAGCTGTGATGAAATTTTTGTCTAGATCAAAATTTTTGTTATAAGGGGAAAGGTCCATTTACATGCCATTTATACATAATTTAAATTCAGTAGTTTAATTTAAATAATTTAATATTGTAATCAGTTTCATTCTTGTTGTTTATGTTCTAGTAATTAACAATTCGTTAATATTTCACACTTATATGATCAACTACATCTGGACTGCTGCGTGATCATTTTTTATAATTGTTCGTTACAATAATTGATTGCGGGCGCCATTAACTTTTCCACTTGACTCTTTGGTTTCTTATTTATATTTCATGAAAAACCATTATTTCAATTTTCAAGTTATTAACATTATGAAATAATAATATTGGAAGTCATATACTACGATTACGAAATTCCGTGGGCCAATTGCAATAATACCATTCGGTTGCAAAGGCCTTTTTCAGTATTTGTATAAATTATGTATATATGTGAATGGCTACACAATTTTAGAATCCAATAAACTAAAAATTCCGCATGATATCGATACTATGGGTAATTTTATAATTATGGCGGGGGGAGGGGGCGTAAGTAGGGTGTACGCGCGGTGATCGAGTGGAAGGCTTTCTAGGTTCGCCTCTCATGGCAGCCACCTTATGACCCATGTCTAAACACGGAGCACAAGACGGAAGGGTTAGTTTAGGGCTAATATCCCGGCTTAGGGGCTAATCCCAACCAACCCTGTATAAACATTCCCTGTGGGAGGAAACCAGATTACTCGAAGAAAACCCACGACTTTTGGCAGAGCGTTGACTAACTCTTTTCACATGGATATCATAACGTCCACAGTGGGAATCGAACCCACCGAAGCCCAATTGAAACGTAATTTGATATCATAGGGTGCAAATTTCGAAGGTTTTTATTAACTTTCAAAGTACCAGACAATTTGATGCACATTAGGGGGGGGGGGATAGGTTTTCGGATCTTCGGATTTCACAGAAAAAAATGTTCGGATTTCGGACATGCCGAAATTTTACACGGATTTGCGAATCTTATTAATACAGCGGATTGCGGATTTATATAATATTTTGGCTCGGATTGTGGGTTTAGCTTACAATTTAGTTCTGATCCGGGATTGTGATTTCGTAGTAGAGCTTTTAGCGGATTAAAATTTAGACAATTTAGACAAACGCTATTTTGCTTCAAATTTGGGTGTATCGGCGGATTTGTATACCCCTATTCACCCCCCCCCCCTCCCACATTACGTCCTACGCGCGCCCTCCAAAACTTATCTAGTTTAGGTTTTTTGTCCACTGCATGTCGAGGGTAAAAAGTGGAGGGTCATATATAAAAAGTCGAGAATTTTAATTATAAAATATTTTATGGTTTTTCATTGTTAAGGTTTAAAAACTCTAAGAGTAAAAAGCTTGAGGGTATTTTGCATTTTAACCCTATCAAGGGGGGGGGGGGGGGGGGGGGGGCGGAAAGTGCCCGATCAAACTTTGAATCATTGAATGTTTATAACCATTTAACGTTTTAATTTAAATGCACGAAACGTCGCAACTTTTCCTAAATTCTGGGAATACAATACTGTAGTGACCATAGAGATTATAAATAACACTAGAGGAGGCATTGTAATCTTAATTCAGTAAAAAAAAAGGAAAGGCGACTATTGGGGGGCAAATTCAAGTCCCGGATGTGTATTCGTGTTCCCATTGGTGATGAGTTTCAAATCAGCCAATGAGAGCACGATTTTATATCCGGGACTTACCCCCATTAGCTGCGTTCCCAATTTTTAAACTCGATGCCTCCTCTAGTGTTATTTATAATCTCTATGGTAGTGACTGGGTCGCACGCATACGTCATATTGCCGTGACAACCCAGTTTATGATCACGTGTGAAGTCATACTTTTATTTTGTCTTCTAAGAAACCGGTTTTTCATGTACTATTTAAAAAACGAGCAGGAGTGCTTTATTAGGTTTAAAGCCACGCGCGCACAGCGCGAGTGGCTTTAGACCTAATAAAACACGACCTGCGAGTTTTTTAAATGACTTCAAAAACGTTTGCATAATAAGTCGAATCTTTATATAAAATTTTTTATATAAAAATCTTTATATAGTTTGCATAACAATGGTCTTTTGTTAAAGTGTTCTTTAGCTGGTATAAAGACGTATGCACGTGACTAATTTCTTACTCAAGATTGGATAATTGCCTCATGAATTATTAATGAGTTTTTGAAGGTGTTATCAACTTTTCTTACCTAAAGGATATGAGCAATAAAATTAGTTTGTCTTATTGGAAAGAGCTTTTAAAGTTATATCAGATTTGTCTGATATCTTGCTTTGTTAATGAAATATTTTGACTGAAAGCAACGGCTCGTCCAGCATTTTGGATTACTTTCTAACCTCATTAACTACAGTTTTGATGACGTCGCATGTGAAATTAACCTTTTAAAATTGCTTATAGGTTCTAAAATCAAAATCGAAACTTGGCCCATAGGATTTATTTCAAGTTTAAATTCAAACGTAGTTATCTAGGTTGGGGATTTGTATCATATTGATCCCACTTGTGACGTAACATGCATATCCACATTAATCCAAGATGGCGAAAATCTCCATTGCTTTCAGACAATATATTACATGAACCAAGCACATTCAGTGGCGTAACGGAATCTCCTAAGGCCATCCCCCTATCCAATTTTTAAGTGGGACCCCTAGCAGGGTGGGGGGGGAGAAAAAAATTGTCTGAAACATATTCATTGAAGAAATGGGTTAAAAAATGTTTTTCCGGACTATGACAATTAAAAAAACAGTCACAAAAAATTTTCCCCATCCATGTCTACCGAAAAAGACATTTCATTAATTCCAGTTTTTGGGCGCCACCCGTTGCAAATTTTATGACTAAACTTTTCCGATCGATGTTTTGCACATAACTGCTGATTTTAGCCTTAAATACCCTACCTAAAAGCTAAAAAGTAAATGAAAAGGTACGATTCATCCAACTGCAGTCCATATTATTCTATCTTTTGTTCAAATCGCTCATAGATAGTCCAAGTTTGCTCGCGTTTGTTGCACGAGGCTTTTCCATGAAACTCGTTAAACATTTCAAACGTGCTTAACTATCACTTGGCTGATTGCAAACGCACTTAGCTGATTGGACAACAAACTAAGCTTGTCTTCGCCGTATCCTATTGCGAATTTAAAGCCCCGTTTACACTACGCTCAATTTTTGGTACGGCACGGATAAAATTGGTACCCGTACCACTTTTTTGGTTCTTGGACTACCTATTTAGGTAGTCCAAGAAATAAAAAGGGGTACGGTACCAAACATTGAGCGTAGTGTAAACGGGGCTTAAAGTGCCTGTATCATGGTTTTGGAGTTTGCATATCTCGAAAGTTTAGGGTATTTTAAGACACTTTGCGATACTTTATTTTGTTATTGAAAAATTTCATCTTGATGGATTTATTAGCTCTTAAAATTACCGGACATGACGTCAAAAGGAGAATTGCAAATCAGTTTTCCTTTGTATCATTGCAACAAAATTCTCCTTTTGACGTCATGCCCGGTAACTTTAAGAGCTAATAAATCCATCAAGATGAAATTTTTTAATAACCAAATATATTGCAAAGTGTCTTAAAATACCCTAAACGTTCGAGATATGCAAACTCCAAAGCCATGATATAGGCACTTTAAACTCTTCGAAGATTTTATGTTTTTTTTCATAGAGTTTTTTTACGTCCGTTCTTGACTTGACGGCTATAACGATTTTACTTGAAAGAAACACATAAAAATCGACAATCGTTTACGGCTATGTGTACAAGTTTAAGCGATTTCCCGCGCTATTCATTCTTTCCCTATTTTAAAGAGGGTTAGATCGGGCACGGGCAGCCTTTGCACGCGGGCTACACACTGAGCATGCGCTTCCTTTGATTTAAATAGTCGAGCGGAATAGACAACTTGCATGTTAGACTAATTTTAGATTTAGGCAAAAAAAAAGTAAATTCCCGTGAAGAACTTATTAAAATCAGTAAAATTGCAAAATTTGGTTACCGAATGTTGTAAAATACAGAAAATATAGCCTTGCGAAGTTTGCATATTTTCACCATTTTTGAGCCGAAAATGGTAACAATTTCCGCACGTAATACAAATATACTGAAAAAAATGTATTTATACAACTATATTTACATTTATTTATATATTTTTATTTATTTAAATATTTTTTTAATATATTTATTTATATATTTATTTTGTTTATTTATTTTTTTATTTACAGTTTATTTATTTTGTTTTTTGGGGGATTATTTATATGTTTTAAATTAATACCATTAATTTATTCATACCATTAAAATAGTACCATTAAATAATGAAAATGCTACTTATCGTCAATGCAATGCACGTCTGCCCGATATACATCTCTGTCACGCCCTCTCAATGCATGTCAAAAGCACACAAAAATATGTACTAAAGTGTCACTCATTAATTTCTTTAGTACACTATGTCAGATGACCATCAAAACTACTTCATCAACTGTTCAGAATTTATTTTACCGTGCCATAACACCTGCGCGACACACAAGCACTGCACGCTATGTGAGAAGGCACTTTAAGGAGGCGCATCTGGGTAGAGTTGTTGTTGTAGATGACCAGTCGTGTTTTCCCTGCAAACTGTCTCATGACGAAAATGGTTGTGGACGAGCTCACTACCACTGCTCAAAATGTCAAAAGAGAGTAATAAATCGCAACAGATTTGCCAAACACCTTGAAAGTCATTTGAAATCCGAAATTAGTGACGTGGAAATGACGCCCATAAGCCCAAAGCTTTTGGAAGAGGAAGATACCACGTTTCATACAGAGCCAGTCAACGAGCCAAAACCCAAGAGGCAAAAATCAGAAAGGAAAGAGTGTCCAATATGCAAAAAGGTAATGGATGTCCGAAGTCTACTGAGGCATCAAAGGGACATTCACAAAGAAATAGTTCCAACTAATGTTTGTGTTGATGAGACGAAGGGGTTATATATGGTTCGCAAGAGTTCTCATGGAGGCGTAGCTTATCCAGTTCACGGTCAGAAATGTGTTCGGCCTCTAAGTGATGTGAACGGTAAACAAACCCCATTTTGTGAAAACAATAGTTGCAGAGTTTATATGGAGGTTGCGTGGAGAAGTGGAATGAATGCCGTCGAGTGTCAGCACATTAGGGAAGTGGGTGTGAATACAGCATATAAGGAAGAGGTTCATCTTCGGGAAAGTGACCTTAACGACCTTTCGCAGGAAGGAACATTCAAAATTTTAAAACAAGAACGAATTAAACAATGCATTTCACTATACGAAGCGGCATCGTCAAATAATGCAGTATTAATTGTAAGTTTTGAAGATGGTGAAAGATATATACACTTTTCTGTATACGATGGTGCCGTTCACTACTATTCTAAATTGGGAAGGGTTATCGTAACCTGCGATCTAAAGAATGGGTATCTGGTTTGTGGATGTTGTCGTAAACGTGGTTGCACACATAAGGCTATCTGTTTGTGGTATTTGCGCGGTATCGACAAGTTGGAGCAGTTCCGTGGTGTTGTTAAAGACGATGATGATGAGTTAGGAGTTCCAAAGCACGAACAACCGTCGGATGTAGACAAAATTTGTGAGCAAAGTAAACTTTTTTATCCTCCCGCTGACGAAGATACTGTTGCAAACATGTGCAAATACCTAAAAGATCATAAGAAAATCCCCCTGTCGGCTAATCGTGATAAGTCAAAAGCCATTCCTCGGAGATACACACCCGTGGAAAAGGAATGTCCGTTTTGTAATATTCGTCTAAGCAAGCCTATACGAATTACCACAAAGGCCACTGTAGTAACAATGGATTCAATTAGCAAACGTAGAAACTTATTTCTCTAAATGTGAATCTTGTGGCATGTGTTTCCGCTATCAAGAATACACCGAAGGTGTGCATAATTATAATGATACATTTCTCACTGGATTGGACGTACTGTGTATCTATTTAAGAGACAGTCTTCAATGTCACATCCCCATTGGTAGTCCGACTGAACTTTTGGAACGAAGTCTAACTCAGAGATCCCAAGGATAGTGCAAAGTTGATATGGCAAATGATAATTAAGATTTGTTGATTCGCAATGATTAATATATGAAATAGGATTGATGCATCTATAAGGAAGTTGTATGGCGTTTGTTTTTATATATTACAAACCACCACAGTAAATTTTGAATTCCTTGAATGGTGGCTTTTAATAGTCCAGATCTTTTTTCTTTGCTTTTAAAAATTCACTTTTCTACCCATTTTCCGTTGTAATGTACATTTAATACAAAACAAAATAAACCACCTTCGAAAATCGAAATGAAAGAAATTGTCGTCACTTGACATTCGAGATCATTTCCAGATTTAGAAAGCCAATTATGAGAAAACAGGACGGGCTCAAGTCGACTGCGTGCTGGCCACGTGCTCCAGAAGTTGCTGTGTAATGACTTTACAGTAATAATATGCAAACAGAACTATGGCCGACATCTAAATATTTCTCACTATTAAATATAATATTTTACAGTTTATCAATGAAATAACATAACTGCATAAGTGAGAAATACCACTAATAGTTTGACAAAAGCTTGGAATGCCTGATTATATAAATATCTCGGAAACAATACGAACTGACATTACTGACTACAGATTACCCTGAGTACAGAAATTTCTGCTATTAAAAATAATATACTTCACTACAAAGACTAGATCATTAATACAGACATTTATAGTTCACCGAGACACTGGCTCTCGCCGGCGTCACCGCTATGACAATACGCTCGACCTCGGCATGTTGCCTCTGGAGCAAAATTTCAATTTTATTTTATTATTTACTATTTATTGGGCTATGTAAACCTAGCTCTATCGCGTTATAATTGGGGCGAGCCTGAGCGAGCACCACAGTTTGGTGGCTCATCGAGCTCAAGCGTTATGGTGCGTTCGTTTGCGTTCGTTCGTTCGTTCGTTCGTTCGTTCGTTCGTTCGTTCGTTCGTTCGTTCGTTCGTTCGTTCGTTCGTTCGTTCGTTCGTTCGTTCGTTCGTTCGTTCGTTGTACGTACGTACACGGAACGTTTCCTACAGTGATTTAAATCCTACCGGCTTTTTCACCTCGCACCGGCTATTTTGAGAACTTTCAGTCTTTATACAGTGATTTACAGATTTACAGTAAATTTACAGGCCTTTCGCCTCTCACCGGCTGACAATTTTTCATGCGACATGCGATGAAATATATTCTTCATGCCAAATAACAAATTGGAATGGTCAGCATTATTTACAGTGGTCAGTATTATCATGGATTGTAAAATAAATGGATAGGAAACTTCCAGACGTCACAGTCTAAACCTAGTTGCAATCTGTGACGTCACGCGTATTGCCAAAGTTCTCAGCATTTTTGTTGTTTCGCTATATTTTCCGCTTTAAAAGAGTAATATTAAAGCATAAACTGGTCTAATTGTTTTAAAAACATGCCTAAGCCACGACAAAGTATTCAAGGTAAATGTTTTTCGTCTTTGTTTTGTATTTTTTAACATTTGTAGCTACGAAATTGGCGTCGCCAATTTTTACGAAATTTGCGATGCATTTTTCACTGTTTAGTGCTTGAAATATTTGCTAAAATTGACCGGGAATACTTAGAGGTTTCATCGTAGAATGGCATAGTTATATTTATTTGCTATTTGACTAAAATGTTTAGCTGTATTATCTCTAAACATGCCGCTTTTGAGAATTTGGTTTGCAACTAGGTATCAACGCCATCATCCCATTGAAAACATTAGGTCACGTCAGCTAGTTTCCTATCCATGTATTTTATCCATGGTATTATTACAGGTAAACTACGTGAAGCGTTCCTCATTTGACTTCGTAACTCATTTGGAATATTCCTCATTAGCTTTGCAAATTTGAAAAACTCTTTGCAAATCCCTTGAGGGAATTTGCAACGTTCCTATCGGCTGTTGCAATATTCCAATGCAAACAAACTTCATTTTAAATTTTCCTAACTTCCTGGTTTAATTTCCTAACTTCCTGTTATGTTCTGAGCGTTGTTATTGGTCGATTATTTTTGTTAGCCAATTGCAACGGCCCAGAACAGAACAGGAAGTTAATAACTTGTAACAGGAAGTTAAGAACTTCTAACAGGAACTGAGGAAAATTTAATTGGCTTTTAGCAACATTGCAAATTTCCTCAAGGGAATTGCAAGGGAGTTTTTTAAATTGCAAAAGTAATGAGGAAAATTGCAATCAATTTAGAAACTCAAAAGAGGAACGCTTCACGTAGTTTACCTGTAAGCCCATCGCAATTTTACTTTACTCGATTTCTGAGTGAGTTGCGGTTCAAATTCTGATAACTTGCTCATTAGCAAATTGTTTGGTCTTGGTATAAAGCCTTCTGTCGTTAACTGGATTGCGGACTTTTTGAGAGAAAGATTTCAGAGAGTAAAGATTAACCTGGAATGTTACTCTAGCTTCATGTCTGTTCCTGCTGGAATCCCCCAAGGCACAAAAATTGGCCCATGGCTCTTTTTGGCAATGATTAATGACCTCACTATAGGGGAATTACCGGCAGAAATGTGGAAATTTGCAGATGATACCACAGTTTCAGAAGTTGCGAAGAAAGATGGTGCAAGTGAGCTGCAGGGAACAGTACATGAATTATCTGAGTGGACAAATCTTAATAGGTTCCAGTTGAACCCAACTAAATGTAAAGAAATGATAATAAGTTTCAAAAAGCAGCCGTGTGTTTACACTTCATTAAATGTAAACAACCAATCATTCGAAGTCGTGAATGCAGCAAAACTCCTTGGAGTAACTATTACACAAGATCTCAACTATTACACAAGATCTGCGTGGACACGCAGCGTATTTATTTGCTATAAGACAACTCAAACGAGCTGATGTAGATTCCAAATCGTTAATTAGATTTTACTGTTCCTGTATATAAGATCAGTACTCGAGTATGCTTGTCAGGCGTTTCATACTAGTTTACCGCAGTATTTATCAAATGATATAGAGCATATTCAGAAAAGAGCGTACTATTATTTATCAACATTTGAGTTATACAGGAAACTTAAAAAGAGCAGAACTGGAAACCTTGCATGACAGACGGACTATGCTGTGTGATAAGCTGTTTTCAAATGTTATTACGAACCCATGCACAACATAAATTGGCTGAATTGCTACCAACCAAAAATATAAACTCATATGGCCTGAGAAGCAATAGAAAGTTTAACGTTAAGCGGACAAAGACAAATAGATTTAATAATAGTTTTATAATACATCAAGCTGCAAAGTTATAGATTTATTGACTATTGTAAATAAGAATAATAATTTTAATGTAAATAACTACTAATTGAATATTGTAATGTTATACTTTTATCACTGTAATTCAGTCCTCGGACTGCAATGGTTGATTTATATTAAACGATTTTATTATTATTATTAAAACCCGATTTGATTTGGGTTGAATATTCAATCTGTAATTCTGTTATTCTTCTCTAAGACTCCTCTAAGACTATGAAAAAAAGACCTTATTTGCAAGTTTTTGCAATCTGGCTCTCTGAATGCATGCCATATGTTACATATACGGGCCATATGTTACATCGGCATATACGGGATATATGTTACATATACGGGCTGTATATATGTTACATATACGGGCTGTATGTTACATATACGGGCTGTAGGTTACATATACGGTCTGTATGTTACATATACGGGCTGTATGTTACATATATACGGGCTCATGTTACATGCATATACGGGCCATATGTTACATATCAGTACGGGCTGTATGTTACATATATACAGGCTGCATGTTACATATACGGGCCATATGTTACATATACGGGCCATATGTTACATATATGGGCTGTATTTTACATATACGGGCCATATGTTATAGGCTACATTATACGGGCTGTATGTTACATATACGGGCCATATGTTAGGCTACATTAGCCTATACGGGCTGTATCATACCTAATTTTAAGAATTTTGTATCACTGCACATTAATCGAATATTCGGAAAATTTTGGCGACCTCGCCAAAAAAATTTTGGTCAGTGTACCATTTTAAGGGTCAAAAATTTTTTCAGGACATACCAAAAGCCAGATATTAACTAAAAATTGCCTGAATCTCATGATTTTCGTACAAAAAACATATACTATTATTTAATTCGATAATTTGGCGGTCATCATTTCAATTTCAATTAAATCATTCTCTTGTGTTAATTAACAACTTATCAAAGCAAATTTTATCACTGCACATTTTACATTTTATCACTGCACATTTTACTTTTATCACTGCACAAATTGGTTATCACTGCACACTAAAATTAGGTATGGGCTGTATGTTACATATACGGGCTGTATGTTACATATACGGGCTGTATGTTACATATACGGGCTGTATGTATCCTTGGACTTTTATACAATGCCAATATGTAAATATTTATCATTTTTGAGCATCCTTTCTGCATCATGTAGGCTAGCAATCTAGCAGAGCGCAATTACGATTACGTAATGTTATCAGATAGCTCGTATATTGAACATGCCCGTATATGTAACATGCCCGTATATGTAACGTAACGTTACCACCCCTGCTCAACATGCATGCAGCGCGAAGGCGCGACGTTTTCGAGTTTTATTATTTTATGATAAATAAAACTTTCCTATAGTGAGATTTAAAGTGGGTATATATTAAAACTATGCATTCTACGAGCTTTCTTTCAATAAATTGTGGAATAGCAAACGGTAATACTTATCAAAGATCGATCGAGGATCAAACTGAGAGAAAACTAGTCGAGTGTCTGACGAGTGATCTGTCTTATTTAATAAACTGTCTATTTTGTATCCATGTATGCAGCTGCTTGTGTGCGACGTTTTATATATATTTAAACTTTGTTGATTAATAATGATTCATATAAGTAATTTTTACGTATTGACCAAAGAAATATCACTTGGGATTTTATTGTACTTTCATGGAAGGATACATAGTTACATGGAATGGAAACGAAATTCTTCATGTGTAAACATGTAGTTATCAAAGCAGAATATTTTGACAGTGACAGGTTGGTTTCCGTATGCCGTATGTAGTTTAAAATACAGTTGTGAATGAAATTATACACAGTATCTTGAAACCTTTGTGTGTGTGTGAGTTAATTTCATATTTATTTTTTGGGATGTTTATTTCTCATTGTCTGGAAGATGGCGGGTACCAAGCATGAGAAATAATATCCAGTGATCTTGAAATATGAAAAATAATAGAAGGAAGTCCTGAAGGACATGTAGAAAGAAACAAATTTATTAGGAATCTGATATATAAATGTAAACCAGACTTAGGAGTCTAACGGCAAATTTGTTTACATTTGCAGTTACATTGGTTCATGATTTATGAAATTTGATCATTTTAGTCACGGCAACAAGTCACTAATAATTTTAGGATAAATATTTTTCTGAAATACTTAATTTGCCAGTTGTGTCTTATAGTATATAATAAATATCTTGGAAGAAAGGTGTAATTGTACCCTGTCTAATAGCTTTGGTTCAATATACAATTGGCAACATCAGCAACTGGGCTGTCTTAGAATTCATGAAAGACCTTTGCTACAACCCCAATAAAACATACCTTGTATCAGGAGATTAAATTCTCTGCTTCAACCTGATTATAACCACACAAATGTTATTGTTACCATTGTAACTGCTACCCTTTTTACAAATAATACACTGATAGTTGAGCACCGAGATTGACATATCCTACTGTGTTTTCAAATACCTTTGGCTCATAATTTCCATAATGATGGTCAATCTGAATTTTATCAGAAAGTAAATTTCATTTTTTACATCCCGAAACAAAATTATATGTCACTTTCACTTGTCACAGAGTGAACATACCAAATTCAAACAAACATTCACTGGCTGTTTCTAGATGAAATAATCAACAGATTTTTTGTGCAAACAATATAATTCATGAGGGGAAAAAATGAATATTTATATGTGTGCACATACTGTAGTTTCAAGACCAGCTAGTGGGGTTGAAACCAACTTTCCCAGTTATGATTGGAGCTGATGAGAACATAACCTTAGTTTTGAACACAAAATGGCATGGGATTTCATCTAGGTGGGATCATCATGGGATTTCATATATTGGCATTCACCCAGACCATGGCAATATCACACAATATACAAGAATGCACCCATGCAGATTCTGCCTTCTCAACAGCACAATTGATCAAGTCATACACATTCATTACTGCCGATCTCTATATTATTTATGTCTCATTACAATTGGTATGTACAATATATTTTCATTATCAGCAGTATCATTGCAACTTGTGCATCACCCTGCAGTATCATCACAACTTGTATTTCACTAGCATCATCATCATTATTCTCACCATCATCTAATTTTATTTATAGATAGTCAATCACAATGAATCAAAAATTTCCTATCACACCACTCATATTACTTAATTGCCCAAGGTTAAGGCCATTTCACAGCACTCCAGGATCTGAATACCTGCAACCACCTTTTCGATCTTATTCTAAAACAGAAACAAACGACAAATGTCTTACTGGAATATCATTGCCATAAAATGACTGTCATTTGAAACCACATTCTGTTGTATTAGTAACAGCACAACTGCTCAAGGTCGCAACTAAGGTAAATAATAGGGATGTAGTATATTAATACTGATTACTGGTAATTGTCTTTTTACATTTTGCTCACAACCAAAGTGGTGTTGGACAGAGAAAAATAACAAAGTATGCCATATTTGATTATCCCATTGGTGTGCAAGACTCTCCTTTGGATGGGCAAAATACTAAAATTGGGGGCTATGGAGATTTTATGGCAAGAGGTGGGGGAACATTTTCTCCAGTAGAATGTACTGTATGTTGGCCATTGGAATGTTTTAAAATTAAACATCAAAATCATAAACCAGAGTACTGAGCCCTTGAGGCGATAAAGAAAGGAATACCTGACTGTAAAATTGATGTAATCTAATTTTCTTGTCACATACAGAAAGTTAGGTACCATGCAGGTAAGGTTGGCATTTTCACACTTTTCTATTATCATCCTACTATTCTGTTAAGTTTTTATTGGATGAGTCAGAGCACCAATGGTTGGAATGAGGGCAGTTAATTTGTAATTCTTGCATGTATTCATTTATTAACTTTTGACTACTGTAATAGTCAGCCAGTTAAATAAGTATTTTACTGAGGGCACAGCTTGACGATTTTACATGTCAAAGAGAATTCCAGTTATGGAAGACTATTTTATGAGCAAGCTGGAACAGAAGATTTTGATTTTAGTGAAGGATGCAGATAACAAAAAAATATATCAGGCATGAAGGAGGGTTTATATCCAAAAGCGAAAGATGGAGGAATAATTAGACGAAGAAAACTAATTATACAAACAGAGAGCCACGAATCTGCTGGAATTTAGGATATATAAATAAACTGATAAATATATGAGAATATAATTTTTATATAGTATGCATCATAAAGTCGTACCTCGATTCGAATACTACTGCATTCGATCTTTATAGCATTCAAAATCCATGTGGCTTCAAAGTTTATAATTTCAATCAAAATAAAAACAAGCTTAAAATCTGCTGCCTGTTGTTTTATAAATGCATGAGTTAATTCCAGGAGTAACCATCCCCCCCCCGGGAACACACCCGGGCATTTGATTTGATTGGTTATGATAGTGTAAATGCCCGGGTGCCGGGACACAACTTGAAGACTAATGCACGGCTCCTGGGCAAGCTGAGAGTCGAAAATGCCCCACCCGGGGACGATTTTACAGTTGATTTCACGAAACTTTGACCACAAATGTTCCGAACTTCGTTGCGAAGTTCGTAAGTTCGTTGCGAAGTTCGGAAGCTCATATTGGAA